GAGGAGTTGGGAATGGAATGGTATTGCCTGGATTTGTAGCCAAGGGGGGAGTGCTTGAATATGACCAAATATACCCTTTTAAAGGCTACCTATTGCGTAGTAAGATCGATTTTATCGGCAGGGGCGGCTATGCCACGGCTCCAATGTATGCCCCAGTCATGATTCCAAGATACTTTTGTACCCTCAGTTCTGTCGGGTGGGGCGGCTATGCCACGGCTCCAACGTGCTGTATGCCCCAGTCATGATTCCAAGACACTTTTGTACCCTCAATTCTGTCGGGTGGGGCGGCTATGCCACGGCTCCAAAGTATGCCCCAGCGACGATTCCAAGACACTCTTGCACCCTCAATTCTGCTGGGTGGGGCGGCTATGCCACGACTCCAATATATGTTCTAACCACGATCCCAAGACACTTACACACCCTTTATGCACTAGGGCATATCTTAGAGCTATGGCATAGCTGCCCCGGCTAATCGAGTTGACCTCACTAGTAAGTCATTGTGGGATAGGTTGGCTTAGGCCTACCTCTCTCTCCCTCCTCGTCCTCCCCTTCACGGCTGCTCCTGTTGGCGCCCACGTCCAGTAGTGGATGGTATCCCTTTGTGGGAGAGGGAGATGATGGAGGAGTGGGTATTTAAGAGGCTGCTGGACTTGTTGAAGATCAAGGCGATGCTCGCCTATTGTGTGTAGGATGGAGGCATGCGGTAGATTTGAAACCGACAAATTCGATTCGTTCTTGGTGGCTGCCTCTTTTTGTTGAGAGACTCTAAGTTTGATTGTGCTTTTACTAGGTACGAAAGTAGCAATGCTAGAATGACTACTGAGAGGTGGCACAGTGCAACTCCGTTGTACGCCAGCGGCAGTGCGTTGATCGATTTGAGCTTCCGTTCCCTCGTGGATGAGGTTGTATGTAATCAGTGGCCTCTCTTCAAGCCGCAGGTAGTGTAGGAGGCGTCTACGATGAGCATCTCGCGGAACGTTCAAATCAGGAATAAAATGATCTGGTCCCTAGTATCTTAGCTTACAATCGCGGAGAGATTATCTTTCGTTCCGAACACTTCCCCGTGGTTCGCTGTCGCTGACGTATGGGATACAGAAGTTGTCTCAGGTGCTCACTGCCTTTGCTGCACGTCATCCTATAGGGTCGGAACCGTGGATGGCGACGGAGATGAGCACGGTTGCTGAGCGGCGGGAGTTTGGGGTTACACTTGATGAGGAAGGCTTTGCTGATCTGATCGGCGATGGCGAGAATGCTGGTGGAGAATGCGAGATACTGGGGGAATACCCCAGAGCGTCGGTGGGATGGAAGCGGTTTAGGTTGGGTAAAGGACGGAGAAGGGTGATGCGGGTAAATGTTGGTGTAGAACTCCGCCATGTTCTGACCATTATGGGGTATCTGCCAAAATTCAAGTTGAGGGTGCCTTGGCGGAATTTGGACATGAAGCTCCAAAGTGACCTTAAAATAATCCTGGATACAGCACGCAATAATGGTCTCTTCATATACGTTATCGATCGATTCGTCACCCTCTGTACGATACTCATCTTGACGGTTGGTGACCAGGGAGATGCTACGTTAGGGCCGTCGAAGATGGTGCTCTTTCTGCTACTGAAATTGCTCATTTTGGTGTACGAGGTGAGGCTCAATATTCAGGATATGGAGAGCTCCAGAGGAACTACTACCAATACTAAGGTCCATGTTGTTGGCAAGAGCTTACTTACTGGTGACTCTTTCGTGTGGTTGATGCAGACGATGACGCTGCTTGTACTGTTATTGGGCCATTCACAGGTCGAGAAGATACCGTCTCCTATTGCATCCATATTGGGCATTTTTATTACGGCTTTAACGATGTTGACGATGAATTGGAGGTCCTTCAGGGAGATGTTGGCTGACTACTCAGTGGTAGTGGTGGATCGGGCGAGGTCCTTACGGAAGAGGTTGGCGTTTTACGCTCATTGCCTTCGTGAACTAATATCACGGTGGCGATCTGTGGAGAAGGAGCGCAGCGATGCTGATGATTCAATGCATCATCATCACGCTCAGTACGTTGAGGGGATCGATTTTGTGACACCTGAGTTTGGGTTGGTGATGGGCGGTCGGGTGGAGGTAGAAGAATTGGTGCGGGAAGAAGGGGCTGGTGACTGTATTGAGAAGAGAGTGTTTTATCATAGTGTGAGTAGAAAGGACTTCCCGCACTACTCGTTGGAGTCTCCACGGGACTTGGCGAGGTATGAGGGGGATATCAAGTCGAGATTGGCGGTGGTCATTGGGACGAGGCAGTTGCGATGTGAAGAGGCTATTGGTGACTTGGCGGTGACGTTACAGGTGGTGAACCACGCCGAGAATCCTTCGCTATGCGCAGCTGAGATGGACTCGTATTTTTCACTGTACTACCCGGCTGGGTGGGGATCAGGTTTAGAGAGAAGAACGCGAGAGATCAACGTACTGGCACGACAATGGCTGTACGAGGTAGTGGGGCTAGTCGAAAGTTGTTACTTTATAGAGTGATCTGTGACTGGTGATATTGTCTGGTATGGATTCGATCGCTTCAGAGTTGTGCGCTCGTTGGTTATGAAGCTAGGGAGTAGGTCTTAATTATCAAAGTCTATGAATGAGGCTTACGTGATCTATCTGATTTATTTCGAGTTTTCCCTCTCGCTGAGTCTGATTCTCAGAGGGCGACGGTCAACGATTCGTGAGGTTTCACATCTTGTCATCATCTGTGCCTCTGGTAAAGGAGTCCAGGAGAGGGCCTGTTCCGTGTCTTAGGTTCAGGGAATCATCCAGGAACCTATAATGTTCCTGGGGGGAACTTATTTTGAATTTTCCACGTATGGCTAGGAACACATTCTTCAATCAGTTTCCGATGTAAATATCATCACAATAGAAACATTCTCACGTTGTTTTCAAACCCTGGAGGACGTTGCTTCTCAGAGCTAGATGGGTCTCTGCTTAGGTTGAAGCCTGGTTGATTCGAGAGGTTGGAGCTGTGAGGTCGTCATTGACAGCAACGAGTAGTGTATTGAGACGGTTGAGCGTGGTTATCAAGGAGCAGCTGTCTGGAGAGCATCGACTACGCAGGGTAGAATTGGTCGGTGTTGTGGTATGGCATTCAGGGTTGGTAGGTTAGGCTTAGTCTTGGCAGAGTGACGGGGCTGATCGATATGGATGGAAGTGGATTCTACTGCTGCCTTTTCCCAGAGAGCATCGACTGCTGTAATTTGGAGGACTATGTGCCTAGGGAGAGCGTCAGTAAGGTAGGACTGGTCGGGCGTTTTGTTTCTATCGTGTATTATGTTGCCATCAGGTGGTCAGGTTGGTGAACGGCGAGTGTGTGTTCGAGGAGGATGTTGATATAGTGGTGATTACAATGATTGCGTGTGGTGTGGTATGAACCGTTATAGGTGCCTAGTAGAGACCAGACGATAGTGATTGGTCTGTGTAGAGAGTATAGTAGTGGTCGTGAGAGGGAGGTTGTAGGGTATACGAGGCCAATACCCTTACCTGAGGGAAATGGGGGTAGTGATGTAGTAGGGCTTGTTGCTTTCCCTCGAGTGCTGTTCATTGGTAGACTCAACGTTGTTACTTGGTGGTGTCGTTGGTGGTGAGATGATCGAACACGACCTGTTGTCGGTACCGCGGCAGGAGCAGCCAGATGGAGTGGGAGAAGTAAGAGAGTCCACTCTGTTACTGCTAGATGGTCATAGAAAATTTGCCTTTATATTGTAGCTGTATATTTGTGTTGGGATAGGCTCTTCTCGGGGCACAGGTTGTGATCGATGAGGGGCTTGTATTTGATACCTCATTGGGGTACTCAGTATCGCTTACAAGAGGCAATGTGATAGGAAGAGGAGGAATCTTGTGGACATAGGGAGCGGTCAATGATGGATGGATTCTGTTAGGTGTCCTCTAGAACTGTCGGGAAGATATCTTTGAAGATTGCCGTGCAGTATGGCTTCGCTGGGACTGGGCTGAGTGATAAGGCGCCCATAGCAGTGGGTAGATGGAGTGAGCAGCGACAAGAGTTGATGAGGGATAGTGTAATATTGGCACTCGCTTTGGATCACTCGAAAGCGGTGATTAGGTTGCGCATTTTGTGGTATTAGCAGACCATTTGAAGGTGTCAAAGTCATGGAGACCGGACCCGCTGCCTATGAGGCCCGTAGTGTTTGTCCCTGAGGGGGCTGGGAAGAAGAAGGCCGATAGAGTGGTAGGTTATGGGCCTGACTCGTATCTTTCTGATTGGCCCTTGTTTGTATCTTTTTGATTGGCCCTTGTTTGTATCTTTTTGATTGGCCCTTGTTTGTATCTTTCTGATTGGCCCTTGTTTGTATCTTTTTGATTGGCCCTTGTTTGTATCTTTTTGATTGGCCCTTGTTTGTATCTTTCTGATTGGCCCTTGTTTGTATCTTTCTGATTGGCCCTTGTTTGTATCTTTCTGATTGGCCCTTGTTTGTATCTTTCTGATTGGCCCTTGTTTGTATCTTTCTGATTGGCCCTTGTTTGTATCTTTCTGATTGGCCCTTGTTTGTATCTTTTTGATTGGCCCTTGTTTGTATCTTTTTGATTGGCCCTTGTTTGTATCTTTTTTATTGGCCCTTGTTTGTATCTTTCTGATTGGCCCTTGTTTGTATCTTTTTGATTGGCCCTTGTTTGTATCTTTTTGATTGGCCCTTGTTTGTATCTTTCTGATTGGCCCTTGTTTGTATCTTTGTGATTGGCCCTTTTTTGTATCTTTCTGATTGGCCCTTGTTTGTATCTTTTTGATTGGCCCTTGTTTGTATCTTTGTGATTGGCCCTTGTTTGTATCTTTTTGATTGGCCCTTGTTTGTATCTTTGTGATTGGCCCTTGTTTGTATCTTTTTGATTGGCCCTTGTTTGTATCTTTGTGATTGGCCCTTGTTTGTATCTTTTCTCAGACTAGGCGTGATGGTTCACTGTACGAGATGCTACCGGTCTTCGATAGGAGCCCTAGTGAGAGGAAGGAGTGTCTGATGGGCCTTACTGGTGGCCATTTGGTGGTGAAGTGGCGGGACCGGAGGGCTGAGAGGCTGCTGCCCTTCCGACGTGCTATGATGGAGAGATATGGATGTAGTTGGGAGATGGTATTCCAGTTGATGAAGTAATACGCAGTGGGGGGACTTGAGGGGAGTTGGTATTATCATCAGACGGGCGGCAGCGGCTGAGGTTGGTGGAGGACATGGCGAGGTGGATGGGGTGATGGGAGAGGAGGAGTTTGTGGTAAGAAAGGGATGAGCATCGGGTATCAGCATGAATGGACTAACACCAACCTGATCGATTGAGGCTCATTAAATTTCGATATGGTGACTAGTAAGGGATAGGTCTGCAGTGTGGGAGGATGGTATTGGCCATAGTGATGATAGCAGCACTCACTGTGGGGAGAGGAGGGGTGTTTTTCTCCTCGCAGGCGGCTTTGGGGTCCCTACTGCCGGAGTATAGGGGGTCATCGGGGCCGAGCGGTGATGCTCGAGAGGTGTTCCAACTGTTGGATCCTGATGGGAATGGGCATATTGTTATGGCTGATCTGAGATGCTCTGGTGAGGACTCATTGAGTGTCTGTGATGGAGGGTGTGGACCTTCTAGGTGATGCTAGCCGTGTGCGGGTTCCTGTGATGGAGGAGCATCGGTTGCCATTGGCGAGCCTGTCTTATGTACATCCGAATGCTAGGTGGGTTGGGGGGGAGGGGGAGTGGTGGGGATGATGGTTGTTGTTGTAGAGAGAAGACTATAACGGTACGATGTGATGATAAGTTTGCTATTAGTGGTGAGTGGAAGGCATTGAAGAGCGCACTAGACCCGCATTGGGTGCCGCCAGAGGTAGGTGGGAGGTAGGTCCCGGGTTCGATCCCTGGTGAAGGCATGTGTATTTTTTACCCGTAGGAGGTGAATGAGCGTCTATACAGTTTGGAGTCTTACGAAAGCGCGTCGCCGTCGTTGGATGACTCTATGGTGTTCGAGCTTGAGAAGAGTCACTTTTGCATGTGGCAAAAGGTAATTTTGAAATGCAATATGCAAACACGAAGGATAGTCATTGAGGGCTACGATGGCCAGGTAGGAGGAGGAGGGGTGGTATCGGGATCCATGGAGCTATAGTGTTCCCGGCGGGGAAATCATTTTGAATTTTCCACGTGGCTGCGATCACAGACTTCCAACAGTTTCCTTTTTTTTTGAGTGGAAACTTAATTATACACGTTTGACATGTAAATGTCATCACATTAGGAACATGTCCTCTATTGTTATCGAACCCTGGGGAGCGTTGCTCCTCAAAGCTGAATGGGTCTCTGATCGGGACCGAGTAGTTTCAGGTGGTTGATCACCCTCACATACCCGGTAGTTATATGCGGCAGGGTTGGGGAGTGCAGGAGTATCCAGTAGAGTTGAATGATAGGGGGGAGAGGTTGGTGTATAAAGGGCAGTGGAGGGGACATGTGTTCGATGGTGAGGGGGTCCTCATGAGAAGGAGGGCCTCGGGTAAGGGGAGTATGTTACGGCGGTTGGCTGAGGGGTTGGGAGGGGAGGGGGACTTGGTGGGAGATGTGGTCTATCGTGGAGGGTGGCGGGGTGGGAAGAAGAAATGGGCGTGGTACGTACCATATGGAGCTCCGAGGGCCTGAGGAAGTTGTTTATCAATGTGTGTATGAGGGGGAGTTCCGAGATGATGCCTTTTGTGGGCAAGGAGTCTTCCGAGTGCGGGACATAGAGCTGGTCGCGAGGAATGCAGAAATGTACCCCGACAGAATAATCAGTTATTATGGAACCTTTGCGGGACAGTGTAGTGGTGGGGAGGGGTAATAGGGAGGTCTTTGCAGGAAGGGTTTTGGATTGTGTTGTTTGTGGTGTAGGGTTGCGGCCGCAGTAGAGGAATCGATGGTGGCTGGAGAGGTCGGTGGAAGCCCGCAGCTACTGGAGGACTTCAAACAGAATGATGATGGTGATAGTTTGACGAAGGTGTAGGAGGTGTTGGAATTGTGATGGTAGGAGTGCAGCCGTGTGGGAGGATGCCATTGGATGAGAGTCTTAATATGTATACTAGTGTTAGGGACGTATTGGATATATGTGTGGACGGGGTGGTGAGGTAAGTCGTCGTGCTGGGGCCTCAGTTATCCTTGGTGCCAGTGTCCTTCCTTCGAACCGAGATGGCATCAGTCTGGTGGGGGAGGCGGTTGATATGTCTTTGCTGATGAGGGAAACGGAAACTTACTGTGGGGAGCTGCTGAAGGGGCGTCCCCATGGCCGAGGGGTTAAGAGGGTTCCGGTGCCGACCCTAGTGGGGGCAGGTGGGTTATGGTTGGCGTCAGGTTGGGAGGGGTTGTTCGCAGCTCCTACGTGTGATGGGTCTGCGGCTCGCGATGGGTTTTCGAGGAGTCTGTCGAGTACGGTGAGTGGGGGGACGGTGTTCACTGCATTCACTGCGGCGACGACGACGGCAGGCTCTGGTGGGAGGGGGTAGGGAGGTAGGGGTTTGTGATGAGTTGGTGATGTGTGGGGGTGATAGGGTGAGGAGGCCTCGATCGTGGGTCAAGGAGTTGGAGGTCTATGATGGTCAATGGTTGCATGGGCTGAAGCACGGTGAAGGGAGGATGGAATTTCGAGATGGCGTGGTATGGACTGTTTTTTAAATTATATGGTGTACGGTTGTTGTCAGGTGTATGAAGGGGAATGGAGGGAAGACCTTCGTCATGGAAGAGGTGTACAGGTCATTGATGCGGCTAGCAAGACCCGTCTGTTGTATGGCTACGTGAAGTGAGGTCCTTGCTGGGTTGGGCTGAGGCTTTGGTAGAGTGCAGGTATGATGGTGAGTGGGATGGTGGGGTTAGAAGTGGTGAAGGGAAGATCGAACTGACGGATGGGTCGGTGTATGAGGGTATGTTCGAGATGAATCAAAGGCATGACCCTAGGGGGGATGGTAGGGAGGTAGGAGTAGAGGGGGAGGGGGTGATGGGTGTGTAGGTAAGCTGTTCGAGGGGGAAGGTGGCCGACTGATATACGAAGGAGCTTGGGATAGGGACAGGAGGACTCCCTGGTGTCGCTTTATGAGGCTGCAGAATGGGCATGTGTAGGGGTGGAATTTCGTGGCGCGTGACGGAATTGTTGTTGCTGTTGTTAGGTATGTTGGAGAGCTGGATGCGTATGGGAGGCCATCGGGTAGTGGGTCTCTATTCATTGATCAATCAATGCGGGCACCGGCACTGTATGTGGGGGAATGGAAGGTGGGGGGGAAGGGGAAGTGTAGTATTGTGAATTGGCGAAAGTGTGGTAGTGGGGAGACAGGCGCTGATCAGATCGGTAGGCTCGACAGTTGAGAATAGTTTAACTCGATGAGTTCCTGGTGACTTTGTAATAAGGAGGATGCATGGGGGCCCTGAGGGAAGAGGCAAGGGGGTTATGCTCAGTGTCAGGGTGGTCGGTTCCATGGCTCGGGAGT